CTATCACTGACTCACTATATCCTTCCCTATCATTTCTCTATATCCCTATTATCATTCCTCCGCTATACCTCCACTCTGTCCATTCCTCTCTATCCCTTTATTCATTCCTCTATATCCCCTATTATCCTTCTCTATAATCCCCTTTATCCAATTCCTCTCTATCCCCTTTATTCATTCCTCTCTATCCCATTTTAATCATCTCCTTCATCAATTCTTCTATAAATTTTCTATCCATTCCTCCCAATCTGCTTTATCTGTTCTTACTAACCTCTATCTATACATCTATTATTCCATCTCCTTCATGACTCCTCTCCTGCTCATTTATCCCTCCTCTCTACCTCTTTCTCTTTTATCCATCCCTCTCAATCACCTTTACATGTTCCTCTTTATCTATATCTATTCTAGAACTCTCCACTTCATCCTCTCAACCCTACACATCCTTTAAATCAATTATAACATATGGTATATCAGTCCTTCTGATCATATACATTCAGATAAAACATTCACCAAATTCATATAGAAATTATAAAAAATAAGAAAACAAACGAAGCAAGATGTGTTCATTGATTAATCTTTGGGTTTGATATCTTCACCAGAATTTTGTGAATTCTGATAGATGTGTAATACTGAAATGATAATTATGCGCCCTGCCTTGTAGAAGCTTTGATTCTCATTCACATCTTCTCTGAGAGCTTGTTTTTCTCAAATCTACAGATATTTCCCTCTTTTATTTTTTTTATTTTTTATAAAAGTATATCTAGCTCATTAGCTGTAAAAATCAAAACAAAGATGGAATCTGTTATGAATCTTGTAATCAATTTTAAACACTGAAGTAATGTTTTTAACTTAAATCTTCAAAATCTGAAATCAAAAGCCTTTTTCATTACTTTACACTTACCTTCCAACCCAGAAGCATTTTAAAATAACATATCAAAAGTTTACAAAAGTTAAGACCACAAAGTTGAGGAGTATAGTTTTATACACCAAGAAATTCCCTAATGGTAACGAAACTGTACAGTAAACCCAACATATGTTGAAGATGTGACAGGTTTACCTTTGTCTTTGTCTTACATAGCTAGTAAATATGTAATCATCAATCATTTGTAATCAAATTCTGAAGTTTAATGATATGGCAAATTATGCAACTACTCCACCAAATTATGATGAAAGACAATTAGAAGTTATAATACTCTACCTTGAATAGTATGCAAAATGAATTTAACCAAGTCAGTGTAAAATAAAGTTAATCAAATCATAATATATATAAACCTTCATTTTTAAACCTTATCATTTTCTCATGGAAAAAAATATATCTGTTACTACCAAGAACCTTTGTAAAGTTTAAATCAATATAATACTCACAGAGAAACACACAGAATCAGTACTAACCTTGAGGGCCTTTGTAGATTCTTCAGGGTTTAGGGGTCGATAGAAAGCATCTGAGATATACAAACAACGCGGCGCTGGGAATGTTCAATGTCATCTTGGCCCCTTTTCCATGATCTTCTTGCATACTGTTGACTGAAGAAGGAAGTAAAACTGACATTAACAAGTGGACATTATTGCCAATAAATATAGGTGATGTGTGTCATAAAATTGTCTGTTTCAAGATCACTTCAGTTTTGAGTAAAAGTTCTTGGTACTCTTAGGAATCAATGTATCTTAAATTGTAGAATTATTCTCAACTTAGCTTACATTCTTTACAATTCATTATTATACGGCCTTGTCAACAAAAATATCAAGTGCAACAATCACCTACAACCTATAAAAATGACAGTTTTGCATATGAAGGGTTACTAGCTGCAACAAATATATGGGCTGCAATTTTTTCTTGAGTTATCCCCCTAGGGTGAGTAATCATTTCCATCCAGAAACCGGAAAATTGCATTATTTCTATGTAGGAAGTTGCAGAGATAATAACTCAAATGTCAGTCCTCCAAAGACATAAAATGAATGTCATAAAAACTAGCATTGGCAACAAATAACAATAAAAAACAAAAACAAATCATCCATAGACCGCATAGAATAGTACTTGCTCTTCCTTAGCAATCCAGCAACAACACTGCCTCACTTGCTGCATAAAATATTACAGGCACGAAGTCCAGTACCTGTTGAAAAATTCAACACTAACTAGCTACATCCAGCTTTAGCAAGGCTTGAACACATTCCATTGGAGACTGTTTCTTAACTGCATACTACACTATACTCCAGTAACAATAATAGCAATAGCAATAGCAATAATAAACAAACAATTACGATAGCGATAATAAATAATAATAAATAATAATAATAATAATAATAATAATATAATAATAATAATAATAAATAATAATAATAATAATAATAATAATAATAATAATAATAATAATATCTTGATTAAAGTGCATAAAATGACCAAACTGGCTAGAGAGAAACAGTGATTGGATGGTGGTCGATGTGCTGAACCCCCAGCTTGGGATATGTGGTGATTGGTTGGGGGCTAGCAAGGTTTTTGCTTCATATAGTGATCTTTGTAATAGTTTGTACATTTAGGATGGTGTTCATCTCTTCCAGAGTTAGTCTGCTATGCATTTATTTTTTTTTTCTTTTTTTTTTTTCTATGCAAATCATCATCCCTTCTTTTAATTATCCTCACTGTTATATGCATGGATCTCTAGTTACTTTCCATCCCAAGGAAAATAAATAAAGGTATTGGTACTGTTTAAGACGTGACTGCACCCTTCTGAGACTAATGTTGCATTCGGACCTCCTCGTATTGCTCATCCAGACAACTTGTCACGACCAGCCGGGAAACGAGCCCGCGACTGCAACCTCTAATGCCTTTGCTGCCCAGATTGCAACTGGCTTGAAAGTAGACATTCACTCTTTTATTATAATGGTGTCTTTATTTCAAACACTGCATTGGTTTTGTAACTCTTTGATGCATATCTAACTTACCTGCAACTGACAAGCACAAAAATATCCTATGATAATATCAAGGCCTATAAAGGGCCATAAAATTACCCATTTGCATCTTGTGGTTGCCTGCAAATGTCATTGTTTGTCATCGTACTCCTCACTCAACTTCAAAGGAGGGCGAGATGGACGAGATGGACAACTTGTCGAGGGTGAGAAAGCAAAAGTTCCAAATGGTCAAAACATTTTGTCCAACATTTCTGGACGAGCAGGACGAGGAGTTCTGAACACAGCATAAGTCATTAAATACTAACTCCTGGGAAATCTACCAATCATCGCCATATGAACCAAACACCTTCCTTACCCAGAGGCTTCACCCCAGACACGGATTCAATTGCCATATTTCTCTTTATTGGCAGTATGCGCTATGCCTCCAGACCCACCTGATTTCCATAGAACACACACATATGTCGCTACCTATTTTCTTCACTTCTGACATAATTTTTTGACTATGCAGATTATCTCATGTATTCTTAAATGTAGTTTTTCTCTTTGTTTATTATAGTGACATTGCATTTTCCTGCACACGTATACCAAAGTGATATGTGTTGTACAACTTCATTATCAACTTGCAAAAATTAATACGATAAATGAAAAGCTTATTTTCCCTCATTCTGTCCAATACAGACATTTTACCTTGTACTGCATGGTTGTGGGAAACAAACAAATTATACCAGCAAATCTCTACCACTGGCATTTATCTTGTTTAATCTTCATCCTTTCTTCTCTCTCCAATTTTTACCGTACCCAATTACATATCAGCTGATGACAAAGATGGATAATTAATGAAGAAAAAATGTTAATCTCTTTTTTTTTCTCTTCCAGTAAAAGTGTCTGACACACTTACAGTAACACAAGCAATCACTGTGGCCTTTGACATATTCTGTCAAAGGTCAACGAACCACAATATATATTCCTCCAGGTAATTTTTTTCCTCCAATACAGAGCTTGGACTGGTTTCCTACTTGACTGCACGTTGCCAGGGAGTTCTACATGCCTCATCTTGCGAGAAAATACATGGTGATTCAATGGCCTTTGCCAAAGAGCCAAAGGGGTGCAAGCAACAGCAATCACGTCACATTAACTCCTACAACACTTGATTTAATCTTTATTCATTCTCATCCCTAGTACCTCATTTGCAAGTTTATATGACCTTCTGCAAACCATATTCAAAGCAGCACCTCATTCTTCCTCCTTCCTCTCATTAACTAGGACCTTCCCCTTCTAATAACCCGTTACAAAGTTCACTGGTCAATGAGAAAAATAAAACAAAAGTCCTATTTTCTCCCTCCCTTTGTCTTTTGCTTCCCGTTCCTCATTCCCTTCATTACCCACTCCTAAACTCCTCTCCGCAATCAAGTTTGTTGACCCCTGTGAGGCAGACCCACCCAGACAAAAAAAGGCTTTCTCTCTTCAATTCTATCCCTCTCGCCCAATTTCATTCCATTTCCGCCTGCTCCCCACTCAGAACGAGACGACCTCTGAAAACAATGGCAACACAAAACGAAAAGGGCAATAAAGAGGGGACAAAAGCATCTCATGCCCTCGGCCCTTTCTTCCGTCCATCCATTCCCCACTCAACTTCCACTGCCTCTTTCTCACCTTTCCTGAAGCCGTTCCTCCTGCCACCCCAATGAGGAAGGGGGTCTTGGGCCCAAATCCGTTGGTCATCCCGTTTTGCTGGAGTCTGCAGCTCAAGTCCTCTGCCTTGTGCGTGGACATGACTGAGGTGAGTGAGTGAGTGTCTGAGTGAGAGTGAGGTTCAGTGTGACCAAGACTGCGGTGGTGCAACCTTGCGCCTTCTCTCACTCGCCGGTTTTCTACTCCTTTTTCCTTTTTTATCTTATTTAGGGGAGGTTTAGGGGGGAGGGACCTGCTGAAAAGCCTTATATGAGGGGTGATGAGGTGCTTTATGAGGGTCGTGGGTCTCGGGAACATGATGGCATTATATACCACGTGGTTTTGTGGAGTAAAGATGCAACGCCTCTTGTTGAGATCGATATGGTGCGTTGGGTTTGAAGTGGCATGGCAATTCCTTTCTTATTTTCTATCCTTTTGATCTACTCTATTTTCACTTTTAAAGCCTCTGCAATCTCTATGTAGAATTGACAGATATTTAAATCAAGTTATTTTGATCAGGTTAAATCTTTTAGGACCTCAAAATAACAAAAAAGTTTCGCAAGCGCTTTTGTGTTTTGAGTTGACCGAGCTTGGCAAGCCTTACACGATCACTTTTAGAATGTCAATTTCATAGAAAAAGGTTGACTGATCAAAGAGTATAGGATATTCATGGGAAAATCAATATTTTAATGAATGAATGATAGCAATTCAACCTGATGACACTGCAATGGAAACCTACAGATTTATTATATTCAGCAGTTAGTGTCACACACAGTGTGTGTGTGTGTGTGTGTGTGGTGTGTGTGTGTGTGTGTGTGTGTGTGTGTGTGTGTGTGTGTGTGTGTGTGTGTGTGTGTGTGTGTGTGTGTGTGTGTGTGTGTGTGTGTGTGTGTGTGTGTGTGTGTGTGTGTGTGTGTGTGTGTGTGTGTGTGTGTGTGTGTTGTGAATAGTATGTGTGTGTATTTACCCAGTTATGCATACTCGTCAATCATTCACGCAAACTCGTCATACCTTTTACAAAGCAGTACATTTCATCATGTTTTCGTCATGGCCAAATCAACCTTCTGATTCTCTGTAATGTTATTTCCATTTACTATAACTTAACACATCGTTGCTGACATTCTTATTAATATATTTTTTTATAATGATCATTATCATTATGTTGCATTGTTTTATTATCATTGATTTGACTATATTATTATCCTTTTTAACATTATGATTATTAACATGCATCATGACCATCAATACTATAATTATCATCATTACTTATGGGTTTGTAAGCAAAAAATAATGATGTAAGTCCATAAATAATGAGCCAAGAAACATTTGATTAGATTCAGTTGGTACTTGACTAGGTTAATGAGTATTTGTATTATCCTTTTGACAACACCAAACTGCACGCAATCCACACAAAGAGGATTTTCTAGAGGATAATCCAGTCTTCTCGACCAATTCCAGAATTTTGCGTAGGTAGGTAAGGCAGATTACGTAAGTAGAGATGATGTCTCACTGCAGCTGATATACTTTTTCTTTGTTATTGCTTTTATTGCATTTTTTTTTTTTTTTAGTTTAGTTTTTTAGGTAAATTCTGATGTAATCCTGGTATGTCGTTATATTCTTTGCATCATATCGATTCTATGTTACCATTTGTTATGAGTCTCTTGTCTCATGTACATATTTTTCGTTTTTTTGGACTGAAAGTATTAGTTGCTTTGTTATGATTGCAGTATTGTTTAATGGCCGTGGCATTTTATTGTTTCCTTCATTGACTATTTTCATATATTTGTCTTACATTCACACAATCATGTAATAGCCTTTGATTTTAACATTTTGGTATTTTGTTTTCTTTGTATCACTAAGAAATTGTTGCTTTAACCATTAGAATGTTTACGTAATGTATTCTTTATCGTCTGTCATAAAATACTCTCACTCAAAAAATGAACAGAATAGAAATGCAGAGATACTTGCATAAAATAGTGCTAGTGAATTAGTCAGTATGATAGAATAACATTATAAACATGTTTCTACTGAAAAAAAAATTAAGGCACATGTCATGATGCTTCAAAGAATGTGCATTAACAGCAAAAATCATATTACTTCTCATTACTCAAGTATGAAGCGAGAGGCGAGATATACATATATATCAGAAGCTGCATATTGAGCGCTTTGCAACGCCCATCTCCCCTCCTTTCTTTTTCCCCCTTTCCTTGTTTCCCCTTTCCTTCTTTTTCTCCCTCCCTCTCTTACCCCTCTCTCCTACCCCCCCCCTCCTCCCAACCCCGTCTGCTCGAATGTTTACCTCGTAGATGCCAGAAGCCACAAGGGAAAATATATCCAACATTAAAACAAACAAACAAGCACGAAATGATATTACGAACAAAATCTGAATATCGACGAAGTAAATCATTGTACCTTTATGGACAGCTCTAACTTCCACAGTTTATGTAAAAATGTAAAAACAATAATAGTATTTCGGATCGTCGCAGCAACTCTAAGAGTATCGAATCCCCAGCGTGGGATGCATGAAACCATTTCTTCTATACATTTGCTCTTCAGAGGCTATTCATGCCCTTGTTTGAGATGCTATATTGCTAAAGGCTGGTCAATAACTTGTCCCCGAATCTTGCAAAGTATGAAGCAATGTGGAACTGTAATAAATGGAGACTGGATCGCAGTAAAATCGTGATACATGGAAACGCAGGTATAATGTCCTATATATATATATATATATATATATATATATATATATATATATATATATATATATATATATATATATATATATATATATATATATATATATATATATATATATATATATATATATATATTTGTGTGTGTTTGTGTATGCGTACACACACACACACACACACACACACACACACACACACACACACACACACACACACACACACACACACACACACACACACACACACACACACACACACATTTATATATGTTTGTGTGTGTGTGTGTGTAGTGTATATGCATATATATATATATATATATATATATATATATATATATATATAGATATATGGAGATATATAGGTTACATTTATATATATACTTATATATTTATGTATACACACACATATACATATATATACATATATATACATACATATGTATATATATACTTGTTTACTTGTCTGTATATATATATATATATATATATTATATATATATATATAATATATATATATATATATATATATATAATATATATGTGTATGGTGTGTGTGTGTGT